ACGACCCCAGCCAAAGCTTATCATTGGCCTAACAACTCTTTGAACCAAAGTCCATGGGCCCTCAAAAACTCCACACGTGTGAAAAGTGACCACTTTAAAACCAACTAAAATTACTTGAGCCGAAACTTACCACTGACTTAACAACATTTTAGACTAAAGTCCACGAGCCCTCAAAAGTTCAAGTTTATTGAAAGCTCAAATTTAAGTTATTAGTAGTGGTTTTATGCACTTTTATACAAGATTTACACATAACTCCCCACTGATGTGAGATTTAGGAAATTACAATCTCCTTCACTTAAATACTTGATGTTCGGACCCCAGCACTGATCTTGATGGCTAGCATGGGCCGACACTTACAAGAGGTAACTGCTTTGATACCAACTAAAACAACCCAAGTCAAAGCCCGCCACTAATCTAAAAACTCTTTGGCTAAATTCACAAGCCCTTAAAAACTCAAGCTTAAGTTGGTAATAGTGGTTGGCCTTCATGCTTATATACTAAACTCACTCACAAGACTTCACCGATATGGGATTCAGGGTGTTACAAAATGGAAGCTGCAAAGATAAACAATGCATTAGCTTCAAGAATTAGATTTACTTACATTAATAATAGCCATGTTTCTAATTACATTAATAATAGCCATGTTTCTAATTTTATAAAGTTTACTCAATTTCTATTTTCCCACTTATTTGAAAAGAAGACTTTTAACTGGAGAATAATAAGGAGAAAAGAAAATACTCAGCTAAACCACTTCCTTTGCAACATGTTCTTACTAATCTTTAATGCAGATTTGGGTGTAAACTGATCAAACACAAGTAATGATTAAAAAGAGGATATGTCAAGCTATTGATCTCTTCACAAAATGTTGCCTTTTGCGATAGTTCTTTGCATGAGAAATACTTAATCAAAAGTTGATATGGTTAGATAATAGCCTTAAATACAATGTCTTAGAATAATTATTACTATTAAGTGTGATAGAGCTTTGAAGAACTTATAAAATGGGGAAAAAGATAAAAATTAAACACACTTTTGAATTATTAAAAGGCAATATATCTCCTCACCATAACATATCTCCTTTTTTCAGTCAACCTTTCTTTTTCTTTTGGCTTTAAAGAAAATATAAATTTTCTTGACTTCCTTTCAGCCATTTCCATATTCACTTTGATTCTCTACATGTTATTAACTTTATTAATATTTAAAGTAAGAAAAAGAAAAAAAAAAAACTTAGGATCAAATAATTTCTTCGAACCTAACTGACAAATAATGCTAAAAATTTAAGCCTCTCTTGGTCCTAACTTCTAAGTAGATCTGCAAATTTTGCATGTAGTGAAACTTTTGCCATAATCTTTTCATCTAAGCTTGAATTAAGAGAAGAGTTTTTGCACGTGACATCATAACCTCCAAGGACACCTAAATTCGGCTTATATTTTGCTAGGTCTAGGCCCTTCTGCCTTAACCATGTCTTGAAATCCAAGAATCTCCATTTAGCTGATAGGTTGCAGTGTGACAAAAATCCAATCAAGGAGCCAAATGATACCTAGAAGATAAAAGCACAAAGTCAAAATGAAAAACCAAAAGAGAAATTTATAGGATTACAATTGCATAGCTAAAAAAAAGGAAGGTTTGCGTACAATAAAACCTCTATTACTAGAGCTTATTAACTCCACTTCTATCCACTCTCCAATCTTAAGTAGATTTTCTACACTGCTTCAGTCAACCTCCTCAAATTATAAGACATACAAACAATGATCAGCATTGTTGAAGAAAGTAATTTTGTAATTGTCTAAAAGGTATTATTCAAAAAAATTGTCTAAAAGGTAGTCCAGTAATCTGACCTCCAAAAGTAATCTAGAAGTGACATTTATATTATCTTCATGACTCATAGAAAATTCTTTTTCTATGATAGAGTTTGATGCCTCTCTAATAGATTGGTCTAATCTACAAAAAAGTAACTTATTATTCAAAATAACACTATCAAATGAAGAATTAGAAATGTACCATTGCTAAGATATTGGTTCCCTTGTAGTGCAACTTCTATAGAAAAAGAGAAGCCAAAGCCAAGCAACTCTTTGTCAAATAATTCAATTGTAGCAATTCCCTCCTTAATAGACCCTTTATTACTTTGCTTATGCAATTGTATTCCTTGAAAAACATGGCAAATATAAATTTAAACGATTAAAACTATAGGCCTTCTAAAACTTTACATAAAAGGTAACTGGTGGATATGTTCTCCCTTGTCCCTCATTTATGCCTTCATGACAAAAGAGCTAAGGTTAACATTGGCATTAGTATACATTCACAACAGACCCACAAAATTCAAAATAAAAGAAATTTTATGAAGCATTACCAATAATGGAGTTATCTTCTATCTCATGTTTTTGTGCAACGGACCCACATTTGGCTTTTACTAGTTCTTGAAAATTGTGTTTTGTTGTATTGTTAGGTTCCACTTCTGTATCCAAAGTTTATACCTTCATTTCTACATCTTTAAATTGCTCTTTATTTTCATCAAGTTGTGTCTCAACACTTCTTGGTTTTCGCTTTTCCTATAATGGAAAGCCATCATTCATATCTTCTTCACCTCTTTTCAACCGAATACTATCTTCATGAACTTTAGCTTCTACATTATCATATGATGACTCTTGCTTTTTATTGAGATTCAAATAAGAACTCCTACATTTTCTCAACAATGTTATGTCAATAATTTCTCCTTTGCTTGTTCCTTCCACATTTTCAAAGACAAATTTGGTTTCAACCTAAACCTAGGTCACTTGTCTTCTACATCATCCTCATTAAACACAACCAGCTTTTTCAAAATAACATTTGGAACTATACCTTTCCCTGCATTATCCACCATCATCCCATCTAATTGAGTTAGTTTCCTTAGTTTTGACACAATTGGCTCATCATTAGCTTTAAACTAAAATCCTTTCTTTGGAATATGACAAACCAAATTCAATGCATTTGTTAAATTAAATGATTTCTTTTCCTTAGATACAGCTAATGGAACCTCTTTATTTTCTACTATTTTGTCCTTGTTCTTGTAGAAAGATTTCTCAATTTCTAGATAACTGGTTTTTGGGTTAGCTTTTCTACCTATTACCTGAAAAATTGTGAGGTTTAGCTATTACTTAAAAAAAATAAATAAATCATGAATATATAAAGGAAAAAGAGCAGAAGGATACCTCAGCAAGTGTGAGCTTGGGGTTTTCTGCAGTCAAGCAGCCAACTTTGAGCTCCATTTGTGAAAAGCTGTGCAGGTGACTTTTAACACAAGCCTTGCATCTAACTTAAACCAAATGGTGATAAGTGGAGTAGCCCTCCTTGTAATTAACCCATATACTTCTTTGTTATACACTAGATGTAGGATTTTCCCACTTAACACACCTGTGTCGGCCCAATCCTATCACATGGGCTAACAATGGTCTTCCCAAGACAACTCTGGCTTTGATATCATGTAAAGTTGTACATGCATTTAACCTAAAACCCATTGGCAATAGGTGGAGTAGTTCTCATTGTATTTAACCCTCTTGTCACGTGGTTTGATACATCCATTACATGTAGATTTAGTACCAACTACAAGTCTTATCAAATGAGCTAACAATGGGTTTCCAAAATGGAAATTGGCTCTAATATCATGTGAAAATCATGCATTTGGGTTTTAACACAAAATTTGCATCCTACCTAAAACCAATTGGTAATAGATGGACTAGCCCTCTAATCCCATGTGAAAATTGTGCATGTGAGCTTCAACACAAGACTCACATCCAACCTAAAACTAATTGGTAATAGACAGAATAGCCCTCATTATATTTAACTCACATACTTCTTTGTTACATACTTGATGTGAGATTTTCCCACTCAACACACCTTATGTGCAAACTCGCTATAAATGCCAAGTTTAAATGCTAGGTCCTATCACATCATTTAATGCACCTCCTTACATGTAGATCCGATATCAACTTCGGGGCCTATTAAATGGGTTAATAATGGGTTCCCATAATGGAACCTAGGCTCTAACATCATGTAAAAATTGTACATGAAAGCTTCAACACCATTTGATTCCACTTACCAATTTTTATATCTTCCTTTTTAGCCAAAACCCTCAAACCTCTTTTTCCAATAAAAGAAATGTTTACCAATGTTGTTCTCACCTTTGCTTTTGTTGTTGATATTCAAAAATGCAGCAAGCAATTCTTCCAAAGAGAACCATTTGTAGTGGTACCGGCGACACTACCCAAACCATCCATTCGTTGGGAAATCAAAAGTGAACCCTTTCCCCAGAAGTAAACTCATGATATTTAGATGAAGTTGGGCACCATAGAAGAATGAAGAATTCAAGCCCTCCCTTTTTTTATTAAAAAAAAAAAAGCTTCTCAATAATCTAAACTGTATCAAAATGTAAGGATTTTTATTCATCGGTAGATGTTTTACCATCTTAGGGAGCATGTTAAATATGTAATTTAATCTACTAAAATATTTTTAATGAGATATTGTAATAAATTTATAAAGTAAATTATACACACACAATTTAT